AAGGAAAGGAAAGGAAAGGAAAGAACTTGACACACAGTATGTGTTAGGCTTTAAGTTATACGAAAAATGGTTAGAATAGTATTTCAAATGAGTAATTTAATGGTTTATTGTCACAATAAACTCTTAGTTACATGCAGTACAATATCATAAACATATGCTTTGCATTCTAGACTACTCTGCAAAGCAAAATCTCTCCAAAAATGGTATAAATTAGAATAATTTTCAAAATAAGAAGTTCTCTGAGAGCTCGGAACATAAAGATTACTTTCATTGTTGGATCACCGCTTGCGGCTATCACAACAAAGACAAGCTCAAATCTAAATTAAATCCTAAAGAATTAATTGGAATTTAGAATTTGATTTAAACCAAGGGATATAGGTAAAGGTAGGACAAAAAGAAGATACCTCTTCTTGAGACACCTGTTTGTTTACCTCGAACATTTTCATAAACTTGTAAATAGAAAACGGCTCTGGTTGTTAACGACAACTGAAAGAGGATTTATTCATTTATATATTTGTTTGTTCGTTCCTTCTTATTTTGCTTTTAAATCGAATAATTTTTAGAAGAAAATCAGTAAAGATACGCGAGCAATTATCTATTATCCTTTAATTTTCAAAGTGCAATTAAATTTTACTTTTTACAAAACCCACTGAAAAAGTCTGGTATATGAATGATTATGAACTCCTGAAGAATTTTGAAACTTGAGAAACAATATTTTAAAAATAAAGCCCACTTGTGAAACTTGCCTCACTACTGACAAGTTTCATTTGCAATAAAAGTCTGTTGGTACTCATTGCTGTACATGTGGTTGTATACAGATGTACATCCATACAATTCAACCTTCATCGATATGTGTCCTCTCCATCTAATGTATCGTGTGTTGATGGGTACCGTCAGTCTGTTGGTGCTCATTGCTGTGCGTGTGGTTGTATACAGATGTACATCGATACAGTTCCATCCTCATCGATATGTGTCCTCTCCATCTAATGTATCGTGTGTTGATGGGTACCGTCATTCTGTTGGTACTCATTGCTGTGCATGTGGTTTTATACAGATGTACATCCATACAGTTCCATCCTCATCGATATGTGATTACTCCATGCTTGGGGCAGGATTCTAACGTATCGTGTCTTGATGGGTATGGTACTCATTGCATTATACGTGTGGTTTTATACAGACGCACATCCATACAGTTCCATCCTCATCGATATGTGTCGACTCCATGCTTGGGGCAGGATTCTAACGTATCGTGTCTTGACAGGCACTGGAAGTTCGTTCGTCACAACTGTGTTGCGGTCAGTATTACCAATGAAGCGCTGTGAAAAATAAAAATATGAGGGAAAATTAAACAAAAATGGGATTTTTCCTCAAACAAACAAACAAAAAAAGCATATTGGACGCAATATTATCAAGTCGAAACATTGAAGTTATAGATGTACTATAGACGAGAAGAGCAAAACAAAAAATATGTAAATGAAATACTTGATTAGCCATCCCGAGGTATTGTAAAGATTAGGCCAAGATTGTATTGCATTTCGGGACTGTTTAACAAATGATCGCAGACGATCGCAGACGATGTGAACAAAATTCTGCGATTGTGAGATTGGTCAGTTTGAATGCTCAGTTTTCCATAAAACACATGTTAATATTTGATTTTCACAAGCAAAAAAAAAAACTTTTTTAAAAATGTTTTTTCAGATATAGCTGGTTCAAAAGTATCACCACATGATTATATATACTAATTTACGTTTGTAAGCCATATAGGCAAGTAAACAACTGTCGTTTGGACTATATTTTATAAGATTGCACGTCCTGTTCTTCATAGTGATGACTCCCCTGATGAAGTATTCACGATCATAAAGTCGAACGTTTCTTTTTTGATTTGCCAGCGATTCTTTGTTTAAGTAAGGTTAACAAGAGTAGTCCACGTTGAATCTGCATGGTACTTTGTTTAACCGCTGAGTGATAATTCGGACTCAGGTGTCAACAGACCGCCGGCGATCGGCTGCGATCATATGTGAACGTTCGATTTGAGATTCTCGGTTGAGAGGATTCTGCGATCGTCTGCGATATGTGAACCAGGCTTAAGTCGATCACGCAGGAAGTGACGTCGGGACAGAAAAACATGATGCGCATGTCTTAACACAAGCCACACTTTTGCCGGCATTCATTGGAGCTACGACTACAGAGGTGACAGGCACCGTGTTGACCGCGCAACTTAACAATTACGTAGTTTTAAAATGTCTTTGCTCTTACCTTCGTGCAGTTTTCATCCCCTCTGTAGTCTTGCCAAGTGATGGTATTGTTTGTGAAGGACAAAGTGTACTCCTTTACCCACTGGTTAGTTTTAGCGTTTCTCCCTTGTGTGGCGATCTTTGTCACCCATTTCATTGTCCCCAAGTCTATCTGCATGTACTCGCCAATTCTATTATGTTTTGCGCACCACCCTCCGTCCCAAGTAGATTTCGGAGTTTTATAAAGACGGCCGTAACGGGGATAGCAATGCGGTCCGGAATACGTCGACGAAGCTGAAATTTGATTGTCTTGTATCTTTCCATCTTGCATTCCAAGAGGCCCAGAACAACCTAAATGCAATGAAAATTATCTCAGAACAGAATTGAATCCCAAGAAACTTTTTAAAAAAAATAAGCGCTCGGATTTGATTCGCTGATTTGTTTTCCCGTGCAAGAAAATTGGTTTCGTCTCGCGCGGGAAAAAAACAAAAACCGATTTTATTTTTTCTAGTGTACTGAATTTACTCAAATTTGGCGCGAATCAAGAACGAATGTGCTCAGTCCTGTCAAAATATACTTAAAATAAAAAAAGCATCAAGATTTGATAAAATCATTTGAATACAATGGCTTTATATGGATTATTGTCTCCATTCTCGATATTTAAAGCTCACTTCAAAGAAAGTGAATGTACTAATTTTTAACTTCGATAACGCGGAGAGTTGTTTGCCAACTCTCCACTGAGGAGTCACCGGTCAGGTATAAAACTCATTTTGCACTAGCCTCATTTCATGATTCCTACTGCACCACGCGACTTACCTCACCACGAGTTTAATAATAGTTAATTAGATTTTGAAAGTCCAATTTCTATATTTGACACCCTATTTGTTTGACTGAATAGTCCCATGCCGAGTTTCTCTGCCATATTGAATACATTATCATAATGAAGTTATTTGGTTATATATTTTCACTATGGGAATTCGTCCACAAAGCCCTAGGCACCAATGGAATAAGTCATGGGAAGAAATCGGCTCGAGGCTTCGCGAGCGACTAGCTTAATGGTTTTTATGTGACTATGGTCATTCATCACTGTGGGGAGGGGCTGGGAGTTTTTTCCTTACTTCTTGTTTCCCGCAAACGAGCTAAAATGCGCGACTCCAGAGAGAACGGGGACGCTCATATAAGAAGCAGGGTGAACGAATTCATATCATGAGGACCCGAGACTCATGCAAATAAGCGTTGATGTGAAAAATCTCGTTTTTGGGGCTTTTCGTGGGCAAATTCCATAGTGAGAATAGTGTTCTGTGGATTGCAAGACAACGCAGTATCTYCTATTGTCCCGGCAGATGTTATGAAGCGTTTTCCGTTTTCTCTTTCAACTTTGCTGTTCAGTTCAGTTCAGTTTGTAAATATGTAACTCAGCGGCAGTCTCCTTTCAATGTTCATTATTGTAATCTATTCAATATGGCAGAGGAACCGTGTAGGGGACTATTGCACACAGACTCTAATCAGACTCGTAGCCAGTCGACAATTACGCGTTTTTCTGCTATAGATCGCAAAAGAATATAAGAAGGCAATTAATAAGCACGACGACGACGCGTGTAAGAGTAAGAGCGACTAGGCACGAGTCTGGACTATCATCATGTCCAGATTTTCCTTACATGTCTACCCAACATCAAATCATGGTAACATTGATAAAGATGCTCAGAATGTGTTTTTTTACCTGAGATATCGGTGACTGATTTGCACTTCTTTTCTTCCTCCATCTTCGATCCTTCACACAAAAGTGGAGCACTGGTGTTCATGGGGGTGATACAACCACGGTAACGAACTAAAGGACAACGGCATGTAGACCATGGACCCCACTGGGTCAACCGTCCATCTGGATGATTCAAAGCAAGAAGAGGGTTGTAAGTAGTTAGTTAGGTAGACCGAAAGAGAAGCAGAAATGCAATCAGGCAAGCAGGTTATTATGTCTGCCTGTAGGTAGTTTTGTTAGGTAGGAAGGTTATTTTGGCGTATGCATGTATTAGGAACAGATAACTTGGAAATCTAACTAGTTCCTAGATAAGCAGAGAAGTAGATAGGTAACCTACAGTTGCACTTGAACGTGTCCCTATAGAAGTCAGGTGCACACCATTGATTGGAAGGACAAGGACTGGAAGAACAGGGGTTCTGATGGAAGGAAATAACGACATAAGAACTGTTAAGAACTATTGACAAGGAATAGTGTGGAAAAAATGAAATGAATGATAGAGCAAAAAAGAGGAATTGGGAATGCAACAACAACCGTGAAGAACTCAAACTGTGTGTGGTGGTGGTGATGGGGGGGGGGGGGGCATGATTGCAAAATATGAGACGAGTATGGAAAAGGGTAAAAGTGGGAAGACGGCTTTGATTGCGAAATTTATTGGATATTAGCAAGTACCAAGCCCCCACCCCCAATCTAGTCCCTCCCTCTCCGTGTCCCCTGCAACAACGAAGAACAATGACGCAAGGACGAAGCCTGTCTAGAAACCAAAATAATAGAACAAAGAAACAAACAGCTGATAGATGCCTTACTTTGATTGGACAGTATTCAAAGCCTTTCTTAGATACCACGTGATCTGGGTCTGACACGTGATCAGCGTCATTCAGTTCACATGTTCTCGCCATTCCTTCTACTGGACCCAGGTTGTACGACACACATTTGTCTTCAAGATAACATTTGTGCTGACA